ACAACGAACCCAAGATATTTAAATCGTTCACACCTTTTAATAATTTGATCACCCAAAGTCACACTTCTGTCACTAGAGCTATTACTACTAAAATTACATTCCATGTATTCAGTTTTAGTTCTACTTAAACGAAGGCCTTTAGACTCCAATGTAGACCTCCATAATTCAAGTTTTTCCTGGGCTTTTTCTCTCGTTTTATCCACGAGAAGAATATCATCAGCAAAAAGCATACACCAAGGTACATCCTCTTGTAGATGTCCAGTAAGACCATCCATAACTAAAGCAAAAAGATATGGGCTTAAAGTCGATCCCTGATGTAAACCAACAGAAATAGGAAAATATTTTGTCAATCACATTTAAATCAATAATAAAATAAAATAAATGATAATGAAAAGGTAACGATTTCTCTAAATCAAAGCTTTTTTGCTTATATGAGGGTATAATTTTTTCAAAAAATCTTTAATATAAACAGGGGTTGAACTAGAAGGTATAACACATCTGATTAAAATTTTACTTCATTGATTGTTCCCTTACATGCATTAGACTCCTTGTTACAGCTCTCCCAGTTTTTTTAGATTTATAATAATAATAATAATAAATTCTAAAAGTAAGCGTCGATTGCAAAATCCCATAAATTCTTCAAGATGAACTCCTGTCCCTTGAATCACATGCCTGAGATTAGCTTAAACTGCCATGGCGAAAATGGCCTTAGTTGCTAGACAGCATTGCCCAAACTGGGAATCCGGTGAAAGAAAAAAATCTCTGTCGGAGCATCTTAATGGCATGGACGATAGCCCTTCGCCTCCAAACAAAAGCTGCAATATCGAGAAAGCCTAACACAACCACTTGCCACAAACTTTTGAAACCATTATCACACTAAACACCCACTCGTGAAGATCTGCAAAGCTTTCGAGACTACTATACCAAAAAGAATGACCAACCTCACCTTTGTTATTGTAGAACAGTAATTCCATCACAATTTTTAGAAGTCATCTTAAATTTATTCATCTTAATGCATACAATTTATGTTATTGGTGAATGTAAACTAACTGATTTGCTTCATAAAAAACCAAGAAAATCCCTTTAACTAAATTGGATTAAGTTATATTCAGAAAAAGGTTTTTCTTTCTCTTTAATGAGATGAACATGCCATCTCATTCCCTATTTGTTTTTTTCTCGTTTCTTTATGTTTTTCTTTTTCTCTGTAAACAGGGAATATGTTGTAGATCTAATTGGGATGCCAGGAAATGTCTATGATCCAGATTCAACAATTAATGGACAGTTGCTCTCATTTGTACCTTCTCCTTTTCAGGTGTCACATTTGACATGTTGCCCAACTTTGCACACAAATGATGCTTTATCCCATGAAATGCTGAACCAAGCGTATACAGGTGTTCCTGCTGGAAAAACTCAATGCTCAGGTAAATGCTTCTTTTTGTTTAGTCCACTGCTTATTCGTACTTGGAACTAATGATAAGCCAAGCATAAGCTATTATGATCATCTACTATGTTAAAGTAGCAGGTAAACTTGTGAAATTTTTTAAGTCTAATAATTCTAAAATCTTCATTGCTGTAAAGAAAAAAATAATGTTGCTAAAATTAATATGAGACTCTTTAAAAAGTCCATTTTGAACCTTTTATAGGAGCTAAAATTAATATGAAATACTTTTAAAAAATTAAAAAATATGATTCTTCTATCTCTTGGTCTATTCTCCCTCAAAAACATAGTCATCGTCATGGTCATCATGATCATCTTACTTTGACATGTATTGGTCACTGTGATGCTCTTTTGGTTTATGATGAGCAGAAATTTTACTTTCATCAGAGTGTCCAAATTCAAGGTCCATATTAGAAGAATAAAATTTTGCAATGCCATTTTAGCAGTAGTTGCGAGTTGTCATTTTTCAAATGACTAGTTGGTATTTTCCTCTATGATAGTTCTTTTTTATATACAACAAATGTCGTTTCAGTGACTCTTTTGTGACAAATATTGTTGATTAAAACCTCTTCCAGAGGCCAAACTTGTCTTTATCTTCGGTTTCGTCATATAATTAGTCGAAGCATAGCTTAGATCTCCCCACGTCTTATGCTTTATTATAATCTTCACTATTTGTTCCTAGGAAAAAAATGTTGGAAGTTATCCAATCCTAATTATTTGGATGCTTGGGGGGTTTACTACACTTTTGAATATCTAGTTTATAGAGTTTGTGAAAAGATAGGGTTAACTCCAAATTCCACTTAGTGGATTCTCAAATCCCTATCTTAACTATTTCTTATCTAATTTTCAATTGAATGTAAATTTTACTGAAAAAGCAACTAATATTGAAATCGAAAGTTATGAATAGATTTAATACAAATCAGACCCATACTAAAATAGGTAGGATAATATAATGCCATAACTAATTGTTATGTACTAAGCTAAGTTGAATTTTACAATCGAGTATTGGGCCTTTCTATGTACGATGAGTATAAATTCAATATATTTTTCGATGTTAGTTTCATAATTAATCCATTGAAATTATAAAAAATATGAAATGATAGGTCCCAAATTAATATCAAAATGTCAATGTTTGATCATAAGAGTTCATACAAGGCTACAAGTACTAATAAATAAGTACATCCCACTCCTTTGACTTAGAAGACTTTCATTAGAATCACCAGTCTAGTTAAATTCTATCTTTCATATCATGACTCGACTTGAGAGTTTAAAATTTTCAAAGCGAGAATGAACAAACGGATGATAAAATTTAATTTTAGTTTCATTTTGTAGCACTTGCGGTTTAACCAAATATTTGAACGAGCCACTAACGAATAAAATTGATTATTTTATTAGGCATGAAATTGTAGTTTGTAGAAATTATCATTCTATCTTTTGACTTTGTTTATCTGTAAATATTTTCTCATCAAATGCTTATCTTTAGTCAAAAATTTCCCACCAAAAATTGAGTGTAAAACATCATGTTTATGATAGACCAATGAATACTTGTACATTTAAGTGACATTGCAACAACAATAACAACAATAGCAATAAGTCTTTATCACACTGAGTGAGGTTAGCTATATGAGTCATTTTTCTCCGTTGTGTCCTATTGAGTGTCATATTTTCATTTCGTTCTAATTTAGTATCATTTTTGTAGCACTAGCGGTCTACCTCTGCCTTTCTTAACGTGAGTGAATTTAAAGCATCTACTCTCCTAACAGGATCATCAGATGGTCGATGTTTAATGTGACCAAACCATATAAGACGATTTTCTCTAATCTTGTCTGCCAGTGGAGCTACACCAAACCTTTCATGGATATACTCATTTCACATTTTATCTTTAGCTTAAAGTCACTCATCCACCTATCCATTTTCATCTCAACAACACTTAGTTTTATGTTTCTCTTTTATAGGCCAACATTATATGCGATAAAGCATTGCTCGATAAAATTTTCAAGTCTAAATGATACTTTTCTATTACACAATAGGCCCCATGCATTCCTCTACTTTAACCATCAAACTTGATTCTACTAATAATATCCCCATCTATAACACCATTACATTGAACAATGGACCCAAGATATCTAAATGTTCACTCCTTTTAATGATTTGATCACCCATTGTTACAACTCACTGCGTATTCAATTTTAGATCTACTCAAACAAAGGACTATAGACTCTAAAGTTAACCTCATCAACAAAAAGCATTAACCAAGGTACATTCTCATATAAACACCAATTAAGAGCATCCATAACTAAAACAAAAATATATGGACTTAAAGCCGATCCTTGATTTATTCTAACTGAAATAGGAAAATACTTTATCAATCTTCCTTCTCTTTGAACAAAAGTAACAATTATAGTGTACATTACCTTAATGAATTGACTAAAAGTCTTATCAACATATTTCTTTTCTAGAACTCTCCAAAGAATTCTTGGATCCTTATCATAAGTTTTTCCTAAATCGACAAAAATCATATGTACATACTCTTTACTTTATCTGTACTTTTCCATCAAACCTCTCAATAAATGTATAGCTTCCATAATAGACTTGCTCGACATGAATCCAAATTGATTTTAATAAATATTTATGTCACGTCGTAACATATGATCAATTACTCTGCCATAATTTTATTCTATAACACATTAACTTAATTCATCTTTAATTAATATGCACACTTTTGTGCATTCTCTTATTCTTAAAAGTAGGGATCAAAATACTCTTCCTCCACTCCTCAGGCTCCTTTTTAATTTTAAAATATCATTAAAAAATTTAATAAGTCGATAAATTTTCAAATCTCCTAAATAATATCACAACTTTATTGGGGTGCCTTCAAGTCCTTCTATTGAATTTTCACCTTCAATTTCTTTAAAACACCCTCAACTTCTTTTTTATTAATGTAACGGTAAGAATAAAAAATATTATAATCGATATTAAGATCACTAAAGTCGATTTTATTTTCAAAATTTTTATTGTAAAGTTTATCAAAATATTTCACTAATCTATTTTGAATATCCTTATCAGATAAAAGCACTTTTTGATTTTCATATTTAATACACTTTATTTGAATTAAAATTTACCTTTTTTTTTTTGCTTGACTAGTTTATACATATATTTTTTACCTTATTTAATTTTTAAACTATTATAAAGATCATTACAAGCAGAATTCTTAGTATCATAAATCGTTATCTTAGACTCGTTACAGGTCATCTTATATTCTTTTCAATTATTTAAGATTTCACATTCAAGCTAATTTTTATAGCATAATTTTTTATATTTTATCTCTTGTTGCACTTTATTATTTCCCCACCAACTAATTTTATTTACAAAGGTTTCTACTTTGAATTCTTTATAAAGGTTACAATATATACAATCTCATTAATTTTTTTTAATAAGAAAATAATGAATTTGCGTTTTATTAGATTCATTCTTATAAATAATAATATTCCCATCTCTTTTGTTTAAATAAAATATCAGCAATAATAAAATCATAAATTGAAGCAAAATCTAATATGACTCTAGCTTCTTTATTAATCAATCCAAACTCGTTGCCACCATAAATATTTCTAAATTCTTTTATCATTATACCAACATGTCCATTTAAATCTCCCTCACAAAATTTTTTTTAGGAAATATCATTTATGCCAATTCTCTTAGGTCATTCTAATATTTTTGTGGCCCTAAATCGCGAAGCAAAAAAAAATCTTTCATTTGAATGCCGTGTTCGCGGCCCCCCCCCCCCCCCCGCCGCTAAAATAGGCCGAATGCGGGCCGCGGTATCGACCTTGCGGCCCCGCGTTATCGATCGACTTTGCCCTCTTTGCCCCGCGCTCCCTCGCGATGCCGCCCCGCCCCTCCAAGCCGCCTGCGCTCTATCGAAGCTGCTCCACTTGCTGCTCTATTTGGGGTGCGAGGTAGAAGATAGTGCAACAGACAAAACTTATTTAGGGAAATTTAGCCAGGCTATCGGGGCATTAAGATCGGGCATTAAGATGGGAAGAAATGGGAGGAAGCCATGGCGACAACGACGACATCACTTATAAGGGCTATACGCTTCACGGACCCAAGCGTTGCCACGTCGTCACCGGCAAGGGTTTATGCGCCATCATGCGGTGCGCTTCTTTCCTACCTACTTCGATCTGTAACTTTCATTCCTATTTCTTTTATCGTCTTTCAACGGAACCTTTGCAATAAGCTATTAATCCCCAGTTTTTCTTAGATTCGTTGCTTTGGTTTGTTTGTGATGGTGATTTGAATCAGCAACTTCATACACTTCATTTTGTCGACGTCATAATTGGAGCAATGATCATGGAGAAGCACCTTCCTATTCTTCTACTCCATCACCTACATATGATTTTCAAGCTCTGCATCATAATTTAAGTCCCTATATCCCCTCTCGTCATCCTTTGCCTGAAAATTCTGCATCGCCATGCACCATCACCCACATTTCATTTTCTGGCCATGCAAGTAATTTTGAGGATCGTAAGCCCTGTCCTTCATTTTCACCATCATCATCATAGGGTTTATAGAATTGCTGTCACTAGGATATGATTTTGTTCTATCTTCACCCTCTAAATATATTCAAATCAATCGCGTAGAGATGTATCTTTAATCCTTGTTGATGGGATGATTCTTGAATTTTAGTTGACAAAGCAAAATTTTAACAAATAGATCTTTTAATCAATGATCGATATTTAAAGAGACATTATATTTAGCCTCTTAGTCAAAAATATTATAGATGTTTCCTCCATGGAAAGAAAAATATGTACTCTATTCCAACACGAGTGTAATGCTTTATTAGAAATTCACTTTTGATACAAGGACGGGTTTCTATGTTAAGTTTCCCCTGCAAGACGGAGCATTTTTTTTTTGTTTTTTTGGGTCAACACCGTGCTTTAAGTTGGAATCCTCAAGATCCAAGCATCGCTGGAATATCTTTTG